CAGGGAATGGACGTCCGAGCGATGGCGAGGTTGCATGTTGCTCTGGAAGCAGACGACCGCACGAATTCTAAGCGTACGCTTCGGACGGCAGGCGCTGTCTGCAAGCCGTCTGCTAAGACTCAGGAGGAAAATAAACACACAGACACAATTGATCCTCGACTCCTTGGAGAACATAGGAAAATGCGGAAGTGGGGGGGGGCAGACGAAAACCCAGAAAATAGTTGTGTGCCCCAGGGCCCCTTCCAAAGATCTGGGGGGCCGCAGGCCGAGGGCCGACCCTCGAGGGCCTCGAGCGCCCACCCCGCCTCTGCCGCCGGACCCCTCCCCCCGCGCTCGCCCCGCCCTCCCGCAAGTGGGCACGGGCCTCTCCGGCCCAGGAGCGTTCGGGCCTCCTCCTCCTTCTCCTCCTCCTCCTCCTCCTCCCCCTCCTCCTCCTCCTCCTCCTCCTCCTCCTCCTCCTCCTCCTCCTCGAGGAGGAACGAGGGGGAGGAGAAGGGCTCGAGGCCTTCGCCTCGGGGCCCTTTGCCGCGCACGACGCCTGCAGCGACCGTTCGGGCTCGGCCTCTGTCGGCTCTGCGGGCCAGATTGTCAGTGACCTCGGCGAGGAGCCCTCGCCCTCGCAGCGCTCGGGCCGGGCGAAAAGGGGATTGGGAAAGGGGGGGTACGAAATCTGCTGCATGCAGCTGGTTTCGGCCCGACCGAGGGGCCCATTCCTCGATGCATGGGCGCTTCCCGGCGCGCCGGGAGGCGCCGGGAAAATCAGCTGCGTGAGCTGGTTCTCACCCCCCCCCCCTTTGCTATCCCCCCCCCTTTCGCCCGACCCGAAGCGTGCGCGCGCCAGCTCAGAGCAGATCCCGCAGAAGCGCATGCTCTCGGCCACCGCCGCCTCGTCGTGGGTTCTGGCGATGCGAATGTTGCTTCTGTCCGTGAGAGCTGCCGCGCGTTTTCTGCAGGAGGTCAGACGCGGAGGCTCTCGAAGAAGAGCGCCTGGGTCGGCCTCCTGCTCGCAGCGAAGTGTGGGCGAGGGTGGGCAAAGGGGCCCCATCCGAATCACAAGAGGACGGTGGTCGAAGCCGACCTCGAACCTGTATGTCCCGTTTAGTGGCTCCTCCTCCTCCTCCTCCTCCTCCTCCTCCTCCTCCTCCTCCTCCTCCCCCCCCGTCCTCCAGTTCGCTCCTCTTCCTCGTCCCCCCGATCCTCATGCCTCCATTCCTTTTCCTTCTGGATAACTTCTCAGTGTCGCACCCCGAGGCCAGTTTTTAGGGTGGGCCGGGCGTTTCGCAGAGACTTCCTCACCACATATGATTTTGAAGCTCGAGAAGTGGAAACAGTTTCACACAGGGAGGGCGGGTGTTTTTCAAAATGTGGCTCTCGCCTCAGCGCCGCGCACATTCGTTTTTTTTCAACATTTGCACGAGTTTCACGGATATAGGTTCACCCGTTTTCACAATGTGGTTCGGCGCCTTAGCGCCGCGCGCATTCGTTCTACGTAAACATTTGCAGGAGTCTCACGGATTCAGGATCACCCGTTTTCCAATTGTGGTTCTCGCTTAGCGCCGCGCAAATTAATTCAAACAATTGCAAGAGCTTCACGGGTTGAGGGCGGTTCCTTTTCAACATGTGGTTCTCGCCTCAGTGTTGCGCACACTCGTTATAATAATTTCAGAGAGTTCCATGGATTCCCATGGTCAACGTACCAGAAACGGTGTGTTGGAAGGATTCAGGATTTTGCAGGCGCAACAGTTACGTTGATTCGCGGAGTTGAAATCCCAAGAACGGCTTCCTGGCACGATCCAGGATCGTCAAGACGCAACAATCAGGTTGATCCGTGGCGTTGGAATCCCGAAAGCAATGTTTCGGAGTGCTTCAGGGTCTTCAAACGGTTGCCCTCCAACGAGGCAGTTCCCTTAGTGGAAATGAGCCGTTGTAGGAGCCTGTGAAGAGGGAGCTTGGAGGGAGGGTGTATTCCAACATCGTTGTTGGCTCGTGGGTTTACACTCGTCCTCCTCCTCCTCCTCGCCCTCCTCCTTCTGCTCCTCCTATTCTCCCCCAGGGGGGCGGCGCGTGAGCGCTGAGCTGCTCGCGTTCCGCGGTCTGCTCCTCTCCTTCTCCTCGTCCTCCTTGTCTCCCCCAGTCCATGGCCTCTGGCTCAGGACGATTCCCCCATTGCAAAGAAGGAGTACCTCTGATCTGAGGCAGCTCTCCATGTCCTCCCTTCTGTGTTCGCCCACACAGCTCGCGCAAAAGCCGTGCAGTTCAAGTCAAGTAAGCACCAAACGAAACAACAGCACACCTGATCGGCACAATGGGTGGAAGCGGACAGCGAGTTTCAAAGGTGCGTGGGGCACTCCCAATAGTGACCCTACACTCGTTATTGTCTGTAAGCAGTGCAGCTACCGATGGACCTGGAGGGGCAACTCGGAGAGCTCGTCGCGCGGGAAGCAGCTCGCACCGTCGCATTGTGAGCGCGAGCGCCGCGCTGGAGCATGGAGAGGCGGATGATCAACACCACCGGCGGCAGTCAAGATCCAGCAGCAGAGCGACTAACGCGCCAGCGCCCAAGCCCTCCCCGAGGCGCTGTCCAAGCACCTCACAGACTCCAGCGCGGACCACTTCGGGCATGCCCAGGCGGCAGTCTGCCTCCAGCCAACCCCCAGCACGAGGACAGAGGAGCAGGCGCTGCAGTCGGCACCCACGGCCGTCGGCAACCGCAAGGCCAGTGTGGACACAGCGGCAGAGGAGTCTGTCGACGCGCGCGAGTGTCTCGACAACAAGCTCCAGGCCTAAGAGCAGGCTGCTCTTGATCTCGTTAGAGCACAACCTGCATGCGCCAAAGCAGAAGAGGCCCACGGGGCAAGCTTGGACATTACGAGCAATTACCAGCGGCAGCAAAGGACGGCTGCCAGCGACGCGCGCGCAGCCGACGACGCCATCTGGACGGACCTCCACATCTACGACGACGAGACGCGCATGCAGATGGAGGAGTGGAAAAAAACCTCGGGGACCGTGCCAAAGCCTTCAACGAGGGCCATGAGCACGCCTGCGAGCTCCTCAAGAAGGCCAACGAGTCTGCTGCTGACCCAGCGAAGCGGAAGCAGTCCGGCAGTTCTCCAGCTCCAGCATTTGCAGCACCTTTGCCAGCCCCAGCTCCACAGCCTGCAGGAGCACATCAACCACAGCAGTAGCAACCCGAGACAGCGGCGCCAGCCTAGCCCGACGGAGCAGTTCCTGCAGCAGGCGCTCCAGCCAAACCCACCGAGAAGGACAATAAGGCAGCGGACAAGAACGCCAGGGCAGCCACCGAGCCGCTCAACAGGGCCCACTAAGCGAAGGTTGCTGGAAAGGGCAGCTCCTGACGGGTTATTGACGGCGCCGGCACTGGTGGACAGCGTCTCAAGTCACGAGAAGCACGCCAAAGACCAGCAAACCGAGGGTCCAGATCTTCTTCGGCAACATTACAGACTGGGGCCCACGCGCGGCAGGCTTGGATCGCGGCTGGAGCAGCGACTACCAGATGATCGCCCTGGCGGCGGCCCGCGCCGCGGCCAGCGACATCGCCAAGCACGGGGAAGGTTTGACAGCGGACGGCTAGAAGCTTGCGGCGACACCAGCCATCCCCGCCACGAGGCGCGACGTTGCCGCAACGTCGTTCGCAGCCAACCGAGACTTCTACTTCCTGCAGCACGGCAATCAGCCATTCGTCGGGCTCTCGCCCTACATTCTCCACAGGACCTACGGCAACATCGCGGTCACCGCAGCACACCTGCGACCAGGCTTCCTTGGCCAGGGGGCCAATCGCGACATCCTGGCCTCGATCGAGACGCTCCCCGACATGGTCCTGGACCCGGGAGTCGTCCTGACCTATGAAACTACCGCCCGGTAGAACAGGAAGCGATAGATCCAACTCCTAGGCGTTGCTGGCGTCGCCCCGAAGGATTGCAACGCCACGTGCCACAAGGGCAATGGCTTCGCATGGTATAAATGATTACATGCAGTTTAAAAGACAATGGGGGAAGGACATTCTATAACAGGTATATTCCCAGGGCTGTTGCGCGCATGTAGAAATCCATCGGAAGCTGGGCAAACTGGAGCAAGGGAGTTGACGGGCGCGGCGACCGACTTTCACGACGGCATGGGGGAGGCGGCGTGGAAGGCATCCCCGAAGACTACCGTCGTCGCGTCCAGTTCCAGGATCGCCCTCTCGGTCCACGCCGCTCTCAGGAAGCCGGGCTATCTCGCAATGGTGGCCCGCCGCGGCGTCGACCCTGGCGTCGACGCGGCCGCGGCAGAGCGAAGGGCCGTCACCGAGGCGAAGCAGCGCGCCAACAAGGCGACAACCAGGACGGGGCGGACCATCCACGTGATCTGCGCGACGGGATCGCGGCCGCAGGGCGCCCACGGGCGCCAGATCACGGGGGGGGCGCCGTCGTCGATCTTCCAGCCCCGCAGGCAAGCGGCGCAGGCGATGTGCGGCAAGTCACTTGGAAGGCGCCTCACCTTGGCATTCGCGGCAATCGTGGGCGACAAGGACCCTCTGATCGAGATGCACAGGCAGATCATCGCGGGGCCGTTCAGGCTCTGGTTCGACAACCCGCAGCAGCACGTCAGGATCGCACAAGCGCGGCGGATGATCGACTAGAGGATCGTTGACCTCGGCAACAGGAGGTGGTCCAAGGTCAATGGGCCCGTCAGTGCCGCGCCGGCCGCGCTGACGGACGCGTGGCAGTGCCCGTGGCCCTACGACTCGCCCTGGCAGCCGACGCAGGGCGAGAACGAGCAGACCTGAATCGCCCCCCCCAATCTAGCATTGACGAATTGGAGGGTTAGGGGGGAGCTGGCCGACCCCGCCGAGTTCGTCCACGAGCTCGTCGGTACCATCCAGAGCTGTTTGTGGAAGGGCGCAGCCGAGCACTTCTACGGGGAGGGCCCCGACTGGGGCGACCCACGCGACCATCATCACAATCGAAAGGGCCAAGTTCACACGACGTGGCCAGCCCGACATGTGGGCCCTCAACATTTGCGTGGCTTCTGGCGGGCAGCGGCCGCGGTGTAGGCTCGCGGGCGCGGGCTGGTGGGTCGACGCCATCCGCCCGAGGGGCGGAGCGGCGGAGGAGACGCTCGTGCATCGCGTCTGGCTGCGTCCGCGCAACAAGGACCACGAGGGCGACGCGGAATCTAGCTCCAGTGCGGAGTCCCGGCTGATGCAGGCTCCAAGGAGTTGTCCCGAGAGCTGGCGCAGGCGCTGCCTTTGCCACTCGGCGAGGGGCGGTGGGCGGAGTGTGGGTTCGACGTTCGCCCCCTGGAGAGCGGCCGGACCGAGAACCGCGCGCGGTCGGTCCGCGGCGGCAGGAGGCTGAGTTGGGGGCCGCGCCCTGTCGCTCAGCAGCGGCTGGGCTTCTTGACGATGGTCTTGGCGACCTTCGAGGACTTTGGGTTACCCTCGATGGCAGTTTGGGAACTCCGTGAGGCGTTTTTGGGTGCGCTGCTGGGGCCATTGGGGGCCTCTTGGAAGCCTCTTGGAGGTCTCCTGGGGCCTTCGGGGGGCGTCTCGTGGGGTTTTTGGTGGCTCTCAGGGCCATGTTGAACCTAGTGTCCTGGCAGTTTTCGTTGTGATCAGACCACATCACATCAGACGAGATGTTAACCAGGCAGTTTTCGTTGTGATCAGACCACATCACACCAGAGGATATATTAACCAAGCGTGGCCGCGAGGATTGCTTCGGAACAAAAAAAGATCTTGGGGTGCAGAGCTTGGGGCTTGGGGGCCCCCTCCCAGTTCTTCGTCTTGGGCCTTTGCCAGGGCCATCTTGGGGGCCTCTTGGGCTCGTCCTGGGGGCCCTTGGGGCCATCTCGGGGCGTCTCTGAGCTCCCTGACAGCGCTTTGGGAGCTCATTTTGGGCCATCTTGGGGCCCACCTGGGGGTTTCTGGGACGGTTCGGGACGCTCTGAAAACGAAAAAACGCATTTAGATGGAAATGCATGTTTCCCTTTGGGATCGGGATGACTTTTTGCATCTCTGGGGCCCCCTCTTGGGGGTCCTCTTGGGGCCGGCGTGAACTGTATTTGCGGTCTTGCGGGTTGTATGAGCGCCAGCGCGGGCCAGTTTGGAGGCTCCGGGGCCGTATTTGGGAGACTGCCTGGGGCGCCTAGGCCGTCGGGGGGGTCATGGAACAGGCGGGGTCCGTCTCGGAGCCGCGCTGAAAGCGCGCGCGAAGGGGCTGAGCATCGTTTGGTTATGGAGGGGTGGGGCCATCGATAGTGTGGTCAGAGATGGAGTATACGTGCATATTCTGTGCGCGTACGCACGCACACATTCTTACGTGAGCGAATCCATGAGGTGGGCATCTGTGTACCCGTGTACGGATGTGTGTCAGCACGCTCGCTGACCGAAGCTTTGTTTGCCTTGAAGCTTATTAGGTGTAGCCCCTTCGCGTGCCTACACGCCCGAGGTTGCTTCTTGGCATTTGCAGCTTCTCTGCTTAAGCAAAGCTGTTGAGTGATCTCCCCTCCTCTCCTCCTCATCCTTACCCCTCCTGTCCTTCTCGTCCTTCTCCTCCTCCCTCATTGTGTGCCTGATCTCTTCCGCCTCCTGCCCCTTGTCTCCACCCTCCTGCTCCCCCTACTCCTTCTCGCTTTCTTTTTTCTTTCACCTCCACATCCTCCTCTTCCTCCGCCCCCGAATTTACTTCCCCTTCCCTTGTACTCCTCGGGACAAGTAGGAGGTAGGACACGTTGAGATTGCAGTCGAAGGATGAGACTGAGGGGACAGATTTCCTTCCCTCTCTCCCTCCAGCTTGTAATTCCTCCCCTCCCTCATGGCCGCTGCGTAGAGAGTGCGGCGTCGCGTGAAGAGTGCGGCGTTACGCAAAGAGCACGGCGTTAGGTAGAGAGTGCGCTTCAGGCTCAGGGTGGTCAGTGCACCGAGGGTCCTCCAATTACGTGGCACCGCGTTTGGTGCGCCCTGTGCCCAGTGAGCGCTCCACGCGTTCGGCGCCCAGTGCGCACAGCACAGGTGCAGGAGACACGCTCCCCGGTCGAGGGTCGGCGGCCCTCCCCGGGCGGGGACGGGTCCTGGGGCTCCTCCGCCCCCCGCGCGCCTGTGCGCGTGCACGCCCCACGGCACGCGTGCACGCAGCGCACGCAGCGCAGCGCACGCCGAACCAACACGACGCAGCACGCACGCGCGCACGGGCTGGAGACGCGCGCGCGCGCGTGCGCTCGCACGCCCTCTGTCTCCCGCAGCGGTCCAGACGGATCGGCACGGGCGGGGCCGGCGCGAGGTGCGGACGTGCGGGCGCGCTCGCGCGCGCGCTCGGGGCCCCCCCCCCCGATCGGGCGGCCACGGCGGGGTGGCGTGCGCGGGCAGAGCCGCCGCGGCGCACCCGCACTGGCAGCTTCGGCATCGCGGCCACGCGCGCAGCGGCGGGGCGGCGTCGGGCGACTCGCCGAAGAGGGCACATACGCACGCACACACACACACACACACACAGCCACACACACGCGCACACGCGCGCGAGCGCGCGCGCGGGCACGCACGAGTTCGAGCACGCCCGCCCGCCCGCCTCTCATAACTGTGCCACCCCACACGGGGGGGCCTTTGAGCCCAGAGCTTATATGCGTACCTCACCGTAGGAGCGAGTGAGGGAGGGGGCGGTCAGGTCAGGTCAGGCGATCCACGACAGCTCGTCTTCGGGAGGCTGCATTGGGGTCAGGCTGGGAGGGGGAGGGAGCGAGTGGGGCGAGGAGGATCACACAGCATGGGCAGGAGGAGGGCGGAGCGAGGCCGGACGAAGAGGAGGGAACAGAAGAAGGAGGAGGGCTGTGGAGGAGTAGTATGTCATGCTCAGGGCCCAGGGCTGGGGAGCCTGTCGGTGTATGTGCTTCTGAGCCCCCAGGGGGAGGCGGTGAAGAGGCCGCTGGCAGACCTGAAGTTGGGCGACAGGCTCGAGGGCACAGTTATTAGAAAGACGAGCGAAGGAGTGCGCCTGGATTTTGGCTACGAGGTGTATGGTCACTCGACGAACCCCCGGAAAGAGGCATTAGATAAACTCCAAGCGAAACAGACTGTTTTCGGAGTCGTGGAGCGGGTGGACCCGAAGGCCCGCATGTTCTGGGTGGCCATTGATGGGTTGTCTAAAGGGAAGCTTTGTAGGGACCTGAAGGAGGGTGACGTAGTTGATGGCACAGTCGTTTTGCGTGAGAAGAGCAGGGTGAAGATCGACATCGGATGCGAAATGACCGCCAGTTTGCCCGACAAGGAGAAAACAAAGGAGGTATTCAAGTTCGAGCTGGGCGAGGAAGTCAAGGGCTTCGTTGTTGAAAGCGTGGATGGCGAGAGCAATAAGGTGACGCTGTCTCTCCCTGGCTTGTCTGAGCTTGTGGCCGATAGGCCAGACGAAGAGTACGCCCCAAAGCAGAAGATGAAAAGGGAGCCGGAGGTGATGGTAAGTAAGAATGGGTTCAAATTCGTGTCTTTGAACGCCAACGATCTGCGCAACCAAGGATTCAAGGGTGTAGAGTTGCAGCTGTCAGGGCTCGTCTTTGGCGGCATTGACAAAGGTTCGCAGACGATAACGCTGAACAAAACTAAAGATTTCTTTCCAGGTATCGAGGATGGGCAGGCGGTGAAAGGCACCATCAGCAACAAGATCCGAAACGCCGCGGTGTATGCGGACATTGGGGCCAAGAAGAACGCCAAGCTCGTTGACTCCCCTGGGGCACTCCTGCTCAAGTGGGGAGAGAAGGTTGATTTAGTCGTCCAGAAGGTTCATCACGAGAAGGGTTGGTGCGACGTCGTCGTACAAGGGATTTCGGAGATCACTGCCGGCAGAAAGGAGAAACAGACGGAGCTGAAGGACTTGGAAGTTGGCTCCATCATTCCTGGCCGCATCGAGGGAAAGGTCGGGAAGTCCGACAGAGAGCTCTGGGTAGACGTCGGCGCGTCAAAGGCCGCGCGGACGTGGGTCGGTGACACGAAGCTCGCCAAGACGCTCCAGCCTGGCGCCGAAGTGCAGGTGAAGCTCCTGGACGTCGACCTGAACAAGACCCAGCTGACCGCCGACCTGCACGTGGAGTAGCCGGGACCGATCGGCTCCTCGAGGAGCGCTCTCAACGACAAGGAGTGACACCCGGGGCGCCCTCTGCCGGCGGCGTGCGCAGGGGAGCCGGGTGTGGGGGGTCGGCCTTCGGAGCAGGCCGCAAGCGCGTCCCGACGCGCGGGGCTCGGGGCGCGCGGCCTCCGAGGGGGCGGCACCTATTGAGAAGCCGCTCGCCCTCTCGCGCGAGCGGCGGAGCGAAACGGTGGGTACGGTCGGACCGGGGTATGAGATCGAGATCGGTCCCAGGGGGGTGCCCTAATGTTCTTCGTGCTTGTTGGATGTTCTTGTGCATACCAGGAGGGGACACCCTCGAACGTTCTTCCGTGTGGGCCGGCGAGGGGTCTCATGTTCTCGAAGGGTGTTTTTGTTCTGTCCTACGTCCGACCAGAAGTTTTTTCAACAAGTTCATTATAATGTTTAGAGCCTTGTTTTAGTAGCCTCGAGTGGCCTGTCACTGTAGCTGTCGTTAGTGCATTACTAGCTGCCTCTAGTGGCCTTTACTTGCCTTTTAGCTACCTTCAGGTTCCTTTAGCGGCCTTTAGTGACCTTCAGTCGCCTCTACATTTTTTATGCCCCAAACAGCTTGCTGAACGGGGTGCTGTTGTGGTAGAAACTAACTCCGGCCGAGGGAACGCGGAGCAGAGACATCCTCATAACAAAATTATGGTTTTGGCCGTTTCGCTTGAGACATCCTCACAACCCTCGTTTCTGAGTTGGCCTGGATCGGCCGTTTCGCCTGAGACATCCTCGAAAAGTTGCGCTCCGGGACGCCGCGCGAGAGGTGGTCCGGGCCGTTTCGCTTGAGACATCCTCGAAACTCTGAGCCCCGAGGTGCCGTGCGAGAGGTGGTCCGGGCTGTTTCGCCTGAGACATCCTCGAAACTCTGAGCTCTGCGATGCCTTGCGCGAGGTGGTCCGGCCCGTTTCGCCTGAGACATCCTCGAAACTCTGACTTCGGAGATGCCGCGCGAGAGGTGGTCCGGCCCGTTTCGCCTGAGACATCCTCGAACTTCTGAGCTCTGAGATGCCCTGCGCGAGGTGGTCCGGCCCGTCTCGCCTGAGACATCCTTGCAACTCTGAGCTCTGAGATGCCGTGCGCAAGGTGGTCCGGCCTGTTTCGCACAAGACATTCTCGCAACTCTGAGCTCTCAGATGCTGCGCAAGAGGTGGTCCAGCCTGGGGGCCCAGAAGACCACATGTTACATATCCTCCATGGGACCCTGCGAGCCTCAGGAGGCCCCAGAGAGGTCCAGGAGGCCGCAGGACGCCCAGGACAGGCCCCAGGGGCCCTCAGGAGATTCCCAGGAGGCTCCCAGGAGGCCCCAGGAGGCCGCCTATCAGAACGTGTCAAGTTAATACACATCCGGTGTCGATTCGTTGATTTTTCCTGCTCTTGTGCCCCCCCTCCGTTTTGAGGGGCCCGAGCGGCCACAGGTTAGATATCCCCCCCTGGGAGCCCCAAGAGGCTTCAGGAAGCCCCAAGTGGGGTCCAGGAAGCCACAGGAGGCCCAGGAGGAAGCCCCAGGAGGTCACCAGGAGGCCCCAGGAGGCACCAGGAGGCCCCCGCAACTCGGAGCTCTGAGACGCCGCGCTCGGGGTGGTCCGGCCCGTTTCGCCTGAGACTTCCTCGCACCACGTTTCGCCCGAGACATCGTCGCAACTCTGGGGTCCGACATGCCGCGCGCGAGGTGGTCCAGCCCGTTACGCTGGAGACATCCTCGCAACTCTAGGCTCCGAGATGCCGTTCGGGATGAAGAGGAGGTGGAGGAGGAGGAGGAGGAGGAGGAGGAGGAGGAGGAGGAGGAGGAGGAGGAGGAGGAGGAGGAGGAGATGGAAGGGAGAAGGAGGAGGCGGATGATGTGCATGAGGGAGCAGGCAGGAGGAGGGGGAGGCCCCAGAGAGCTCCAGGAGGCCGCAGGACGCCCAGGACAGGCCCCAGGGGTCCCCAGGAGATTCCTAGGAGGCTCCCAGGAGGCCCCAGGAAGGATGCCTCAGGTGGAGTTCAGGAGGCCACAGGAGGCCCAGGAGGAAGCCCCAGGAGGTCCCCAGGAGGCCCCAGGAGGCACCAGGAGGCCCCCGCAACTCGGAGCTCTGAGACGCCGCGCGAGAGGTGATCCGGCCCGTTTCGCCTGAGACTTCCTCGCAGCGCGTTTCGCCCGAGACACCGGCCCGTCTCGCCTGAGACATCCTTGCAACTCTGAGCTCTGAGATGCCGTGCGCAAGGTGGTCCGGCCCGTTTCGCACAAGACATTCTCGCAACTCTGAGCTCCCAGATGCCGCGCAAGAGGTGGTCCAGCCTGGGGGCCCAGAAGACCACATGTTACATATCCCCCCTGGGACCCTGGGAGCCCCAGGAGGCCCCAGAGAGCTTCAGGAGGTCGCAGGACGCCCAGGACAGGCCCCAGGGGTCCGCAGGAGATTCCCAGGAGGCTCCCAGGAGGCCCCAGGAGGCCCCCTATCAGAACGTGTCAAGTTAATACACATCCGGTGTCGATTCGTTGATTTTTCCTGCTCTTGTGGCCCCCCTCCCCATTTTGGGGGGCCCCGACGGCCACATGTTAGATATCCCCCCCTGGGAGCCCCAAGAGGCTTCAGGAAGCCCCAGGTGGGGTCCAGGAAGCCACAGGAGGCCCAGGAGGAAGCCCCAGGAGGTCACCAGGAGGCCCCAGGAGGCACCAGGAGGCCCCCGCAACTCGGAGCTCTGAGACGCCGCGCTCGAGGTGGTCCGGCCCGTTTCGCCTGAGACTTCCTCGCAGCACGTTTCGCCCGAGACATCGTCGCAACTCTGGGGTCCGACATGCCGCGCGCGAGGTGGTCCAGCCCGTCACGCTGGAGACATCCTCGCAACTCTGGGCTCCGAGATGCCCTGCGCGAGGTGGTCCGGCCCATCTCGCCTGAGACATCCTCGCAATTCTGAGCTCTGAGATGCCGTGCGCAAGGTGGTCCGGCCCGTTTCGCACAAGACATTCTCGCAACTCTGAGCTCTCAGATGCTGCGCAAGAGGTGGTCCAGCCTGGGGGCCCAGAAGACCACATGTTACATATCCCCCCTGGGACCCTGGGAGCCCCAGGAGGCCCCAGAGAGCTTCAGGAGGCCGCAGGACGCCCAGGACAGGCCCCAGGGGTCCGCAGGAGATTCCCAGGAGGCTCCCAGGAGGCCCCAGGAGGCCCCCTATCAGAACGTGTCAAGTTAATACACATCCGGTGTCGATTCGTTGATTTTTCCTGCTCGCCCCCTCCCCATTTTGGGGGGCCCCGACGGCCACATGTTAGATATCCCCCCCTGGGAGCCCCAAGAGGCTTCAGGAAGCCCCAGGTGGGGTCCAGGAGGCCACAGGAGGCCCAGGAGGAAGCCCCAGGAGGTCACCAGGAGGTCCCAGGAGGCACCAGGAGGCCCCCGCAAC